CAATGGAGGTTGTGATCTAAACGCCGCTTGCTCGCACCACGCTACCACATATGCAGTACGATGCACCTGTAAAACTGGTTATATCAACACTGGTAGCGATTCCAATGTTGTGTGCACAGGTATGATGGTTTCGGATGGAATCGGAAGCATTTCCATGGCATTTCTATCTTTCCAGACATTTGTACTCTGAACAATGGAGGTTGTGATGTAAACGCCGCTTGTTCACACGATAACCAGACAAATGCAGTCAGATGCACCTGTAAAACTGGTTATAACAACACTGGTAACGGTTCTAAAGTTGTCTGCACAGGTATGATGATTTCGGACGGAATTAGAAACATTGCCACGGCATTTCTATAATTCCAGACGGTTGTACTTTCAACAATGGAGGTTGTGATCTTAACGCCGTTTGCTCGCTGAATGCTACGATAAATGGAATAAAGTGCACTTGTCGACCTGGCTACACCAATACCGGCAGAGGCGTCAAGGTTATATGCACCGGTATGATGGTTTCTGATGTGATTAGAAACGTTTCCTAGACATTTCTCTGCTTCCAGATAGTTGTACGGTCAACAATGGAGGTGATGACCCGAACGCTATTTGCGCACGTGATCCCAGGACAAATGCTGTGACATGCAACTGTAAAGTTGGTTTTACTAACACTTGTAGTGCGGTGAAAGTTGTCTGCAAAGGTATGATGATTGCGGATAGAATTAGAAACATTCGCTCGTCATTTCTATCTTTCCAGATAGTTGCAGTATCAAAAATGGAGGTTGTGATTCAAACGCCATTTGCTCACATGATGCCATGACAAATGCAGTGATTTGCACATGCAAAGCTGGTTATACCAATAATGGTAGCGTAGCGAACGTTGTGTGCAAGGGTATGAGGGAGCCGGGTAGAACTTTAAACATTTCCTCGTGATTTCTCTCTGTCAGATAGTTGTACTGTGAACAATGGAGGTTGTGGCTCAAACGCCATTTGCTCACATAAAGCAATGACAAATGCAGTGAGTTGCACATGCAAAGCTGGTTATACCAATACTGGTAGCGTCGTGAACGTTGTATGCAAAGGTATGTGGGTGCCGGGTAGAACTTGAAGCATTTCCTGGTCATTTCTATATTTCAGATAGTTGTACTGTAAACAATGGAGATTGTGATCCAAAAGCCAGTTGCTCACATAATGCTGCGTCAAATGCAGTAATTTGCACTTGTAAAGCTGGTTATACTAACGCTGGCAGCGCCATGAACGTTGTATGCAAAGGTATGACGATGTCAGATAGAAGTTGAGACATTTCCTCGCTTTTTTTCTTTTAGATAGTTGTTCTCTGAACAATGGAGGTTGTGATTCAAACGCCACTTGCTCACATGATGTTGCGACAAATGCAGTAAAATGCATCTGTAAAACTGGTTATACAAACACTGGTAGCGGCGTGAAAGTTGTATGCAAAGGTATGATGATTTCTGATAGAATTTTGAACATTTCCTTCTGATTTTTATGTTTCAGATAGTTGTACTGTTAACAATGGAGGTTGTGATCCAAATGCCAATTGCTCACATAATGCTACGACAAATGCAGTGAAATGCACCTGTAAAAGTGGTTATACGAACACTGGTAGTGGCGTGAGAGTTGTATGCAGAGGTATGAAGATTTCGGATAGAACTTTAAGCATTTCCTCGTCGTTTCTATCTTTCCAGATAAATGCACTCTAAACAATGGAGGTTGTGTTTCGAACGCCGTTTGCTCTCATAATGCGGCGACAGATGCAGTAAATTGCGCCTGTAGAGCTGGTTATGTTAACGCTGGATCGGCATCGAGAATGAACTGCACAAGTACGGTATCTATGTCGTAGGAGCAAAAATATTTTGCGGTGGTATTCTTGTGTTGTGCTAAATGTAGTGTTTTATTGCGTTCTTCATGACTTCATCTCTGAAATTAAGTCTTCGTTTACTCTCATTATGCGAGTTTGTCCTAATAATCGTCAGATTGTCTTTCGCTCCTTAACTAATTTTTTGTTTGTATTTAAGCATGGACGCCGTGTGTAAGAAAAGTGTTCTGGTTTGAAATAAGGAGAATCAGTTATAGCTGGAAAATTTGCGGTCTGCTGCTACGCCCTTAAAGGAAGGGAAGAGATTTCGTAGCTTACTTGATGAAATGGGGCGTGGTTCAGAAAGCTATAATGGTCTGTGATTGAATTTCAGAATTAGCCAGTGTTCTGCTACCACTCAGATTGTTTTCTCCTAAAAAGCGGTGTTGGTGATGCGTATATTTTTAGAACTGAACGTATATTGTTTTGGTGTTTCAGTCGTATACGAAATGTGATGCTAAGGAAGGATCCAGATCTGCTACGAAAAATCTTCAATTGATAGATATTATGTTGTTTTTCTATAGCCATAGTGTAATTCATCACTGCGAAAACTCTATTCTTACTTAGCGATACATTCTTAAGGATCGATTTCGATTGATCGATTAATTATCCTCATGATTCATTATCTTAGATCAGCTGTAAATGAATAGACTATAGTGGCTAACATATGTTCATGAAGTCACTTTAATTATCTCTTGACAAATTTCTTTCATTTTCGTCATTTTGGAACCACATTTGTGAGTAAACAAAACGTCCGATGAAAAATTAGAAAAAAGATTTCTCAAGTTTGATCTTGATACTGCGATCTCACGTTTCAATGAGTTTTCTACGATTTTTGGTTGTCGAGATCATCGCGACACAAAATGACGAAAACGATGCGTACAATCTCAAGTAAAAAAGAAAGAAAGGAAAAAACAAACTCGCGACGGACTACATGAATGCTTCTGCTTCGCATCGCATTAAAAACGAAGTTTGTCTGTCTCAAAACGTGCATTGACTTCTCTAAGAGAGAGACTTAGACTTCGGTATGATCACATCGAAGGCAATCCTTTCGATTACAAAGCTTATCTATGAAGAAATAGTATTGAGATGAGAAAATTTGAGGTTAGTGATGCCCAAGCTTCGCATAAATACTAATAGTGTGTCATGAACATAGGCTATATTGAAGAACAAGTTACAATGATATTACTGTTCAATGCAACAGTGTCAAAAACCAGTGACAATAAGCACTAACGACACTGGGAAAAAAATAGCACCATACGGAACCATTTTTGAAACGAATTCTAAGCCCTCAAAAAGGTTTCGTAAGAGCCCAAGATAGTCTCAAAATTATTATCAAGAGTCCAGGAAACTTTTTCAAAGGTTTTGTGGAGAACCTACGAGACCTAAAAAAGGTTCAGAATTCGTTTCGAATCTCGAAACCCTTTTTAAGTTTCGCAGTGCTTGCGAAACCATTTTAAAGTTCAGTGAGAAAATTCGAAACTTTCTTGGTTCCGTGTGGTGCTATTTTTTTTTCAGTGTATACTGAGTGGATCTTCAAATAAAAAGAGAAACCTCACTTATAATTACCCATGAGTAGAATCATGAATAAGATAAATTTTACCTGTTCATATTTTATAGTTTATCACTAGTGTTAGGCTTCTATTAATTGGTTCGTTAGGGAGCAAGAATTATATAACTATAAACTTGCTAGTTAGGTTTTTAAGAGTAACATAGTATTCTTCAGTCAGGACTTCATTCGAAGGAAATCTTACTGTTGAAACCATAAACATGAAATGGTTGGGAAAATGTGTGCATTCGTAGTTGTGTCCGAAATTTCAAATGGCCATATCAATGAAAATTCAATAAAAAGTTCATAACTCGAGAATAAAATGAGCTCAATGAGGTAGAATAAATTAGTGACGTATCGTCGTAAGACGTGTTCTATCATAGTTGTTGGTAATACAATCTCGGGTGAAAATAAATTTTTCTTTTTAGTGTTCCTGCCAATTATCATAATCATCTTCTACAAATGCTCAAAACAGAAATACATGATCATGGCGATGCACTTGGTTTAGGTCCATTGAAAGATATTACAAGTGAATTCCTACAGAGAGAAATATCGATTTTACAGATAGTTGCAGAAAATATGGGTGTAATTACATTGAATGAATTGGATTGTCAATGGATTGAGCAACTGTCTCTGGCGAGTCTCGAAAATGAAAACGATTATTTCCTAAAACAGAATTCACCATTGAAATTTAATTTCCTTTATGTTCAAGCATATCTTATTCGTGCATATCTTCTCTATTGTCGCATTAACTATCAATATATCAAAGGAAAATATCAGTGTTATGCTAAACGAAAAATTCCGATTACTACAAACGGTGGTGAGATCGACAACGACAATATTAATACTGATATGGATCCTGAAAGACTATTAATTGATGAGTGGAATCATTTGGATGAAAAAAATCTCGATCAACTTCATAATGAACTAAAATTTCTTCAGAGAATCATGGATGTGTTAGAGAACTCTGCTGAAAACTATTCATCAATGAAACTCTCAGCATTTATTCGAAACACTAATTATGATCATCGATTTACTGAGCAATTTGAACAATATCGTGTCCAGGATTTCCCTTTGTCACAAATCAGAAATGTTTATCGATTGTATGAAAAATCGATGAATCAATTCCAACATGCATTTATCAACATATCTCATTTATTTCGTGTTCCTATTGATAAGAAACTTAGTGATGATCTCAATCGAATGTTAGACAGATCATTTATTCTTTTTGATGATCCAGCTATGAAAGACGAACTGCAAGGCAAGATACGAACAATAACAGAATTTCCAGATGATTTAAAAAACGTCGAAGATCTTCTTGCCGGTCAATGGTCTCAATATTTTGTAGATACTTGTCAACATTTATGTATTGAAAATGGCATTTTAGCATTATTACCTAGAGAAATGAAATGTGAAAATTATGTTTCGTTGTGTCTAAAACGTATTGACTTACAATCTCGACTACAAGAACGAACCATTGACATAGAAGAAAAACCCAATGATCTCTGGAGTGCACGACTTGACATTTCAGATACAAGTCAATCAAATGAAAATAGTTTTCAAGTATTCCGAAATAAGAATGATGATTTCCTGCAGATGGACGCCAATGCTATTCCTTCAGTTGGTCTTTCCTTTCTATCTACCTTTTCACATCCAACAGGTCCAATAGATTGGCTAGATATGTTAGATAATGTAATTGTTGCAACTGAGCCATCGAAACCGCTTCACTCGTTATCGCATAGCATCAGTTATAAATCTTTATTCCAGTTGAAAATATCATTCGTGTCATTATCACCATCAGTTCTATTTGAAAATAGTCGAGCACAAGCAGAAAAGTCAACATTAAAAACAGCTCGTTTTTCTCTAATATTTCTCGATGGTAGAGCAGAAAAATATTTCTGTAAATCTCAAAACCTCTATGGACAATTTAAAAAATCTTTCAAGACAAAAAATATGATTGGAATAGAATTTCCATTATTGATCCAAATAAAATATCTATCGATTTTATGGCAAACAACAATATCAATAATTCCTTGCCTACCGTGAAAACAGAATATCGTATTGTTGAAAAAACTATCATTAATTTCTATCATATTAAAATTAGAAAATAGTCAATTCGAATATTTTACGGCAACAGACGCAACATTGGCATCAATTCTCAGTCGTTTTATTATTGATCAAAAATTAACATTTACACCACCTGAAAATTATTTTACGCGTTTGATTCAATTGGAAGATGTATTAATGAAGATATTCTAATCAATAATATTTATCGATCTGATGATAAAACATCGATTGATGTTCAAATTCTTCTACGTAATAAGGATGAAAAAACTTGTTGCGAAGTGACCATGATAACAGAACAAGGTACTCTCTATTGAATAGTTTATTTTAATTAAAAACGATCTATGATTTGAAATTTTCATTTCTAGATGGAACACGAAATCAATACTTTAATGCAACAACAACATGGAAACAGATTAGTTCATGGTCGAAAATACTCAATGGAAATGTTGAAACTCCGATTGATAACTACAATTTCTGGAATGTCGAACAACGAAACCTTATTGATGAAGATCAAACAATATCTTCTACACTTGATCAAGTTGAATCGACCGATGTTGATGTTATCGGTGAAGAAGAATTCATAGATGTCATTCTTTCTTACGATAAGAATAGTCAAAGAATTCATATTTTTAGAACATCTCCAGTTTATAGTCTTATAAACAATCCGAAATATTTGAATCACTTAGATTTAAAAATACTTCCTCAAGATTGCAGCCTTGTTCTTGTCAAAGACGAATCAGAAAAAAATTTTCTTAGCACTTTAGATATCGAGAATCAAATCAGTGACTATGCTTCAATAACGGACAAATCGATCCATTTTCAAATCACCATTCTTGTGCAAATTATTCGATATGATGATTTGACAGAAATAAAAATTCCTATATCTCATCGAAATATAACCATAAAATAATTATTGGCAATGATTGAAATCAGTAATACTCAGATTTATCTAGCCTCTTATGAAACTAAAATTATTCTATCTGAATCGGTGACGTTATCTACGATAAATGAGACCAACTTTTTCTTAGTAAACGAACAACAAACGTGTCTCGTATCGATTCAAGAATCAAATGATCCACTCATAATAGTGGATGATGATACTATGAAAAATCAACATTATCTTACCGATGCTACTGTGAATGCTATTTACAAACAAAATAAAAATATCCATCACGATCAATGTCTTGTTTATAATCATGATTATGTTCCAGCACGTGAAACACCATTGAGTGCATTATTATCTACTAGAAGTTCGCCCATTGAATTTACTTTAAGTCGTCAAAAATTCGAAGCAAATGCTACAGTGACTTGTGATGAACAAAAGATTGGAATAGGCTTTCGATGTGAACCATCAATGACGTTGGGTTGTGTTCAAGAACTTGCTTGTCAATTATGGAAATTAAACAAACGACTTTATCGGTTAACTCTTGCTGGCGGTTCAAATATTGATGAGGAATATTCATTGGAAGATACGGACGAAGCTATAAATGATCTACGATTGAACTTGATTTCGATTGCTGATGTCAAATGTAAGATTACATATGGAGATGAAGTCATCATCGTGTCGACAACCGATGAAACTATTCTATCGTCAATTCTGCAAGAAATCTTACAACAACGCTTGATTCCATTCAATGAATTAGATATGTATGCATTGTATCTAATGGATGATCATGAGAATCCAACCAATGTCGATCCTGAAACATCTATTCATGATATTCGATCAGCTTCTCCAAATGGATTGGATATCATACCGTTTCAATTACAAAAGAAATAATACGAAAAACTAAAGTGCATTTTCCGTAATTGTTTCATAGACTTTTCCTCCTGAATAAAATTTGATTTCTTTCATGTTTCGTTGATTATGCTGAAAGTCTACTTAAAAGTTGGCAAAATTCGATTGACTGGATGCTGCTTTTGCTGACTTTGCTAAAGGTGCACTTAGAGATGGCATATACCTGATTGATTCTCTATAACGTCCTCCGTTAATTCATCCCTCGTTCGGTTCCCACTCTAAATTGATCATCTATTATATTAACTTTCTAGTGTACTTTTACTAATTATGAAAGACAATTCTTATCACACAATTAAAAAACGGACCGAGCAGGAATAACTCTATTTCATAATATGAGTGCGTTCACTTTATCATACATTGAATATGAAATCTGGACTGCATCGATACCAGTGAAACCCATTTCATCGGTTCATACTGATATTCAATTCTAACCCGCATGCATTATTGCAGGTCTGTATTCACTGAGTACCTCGATTCGATGCCTTCTTCGAGTTTCTATTGTGTGAGATATTGAAGGTGTTGGAAGTGTAGAATATGTAAGAAGTGGTTGTGCTCGATCCTGAGTTTTCCCCATATTCACGACTTCCACACCAGGTGCCAAACATTTTGAGTATTCTTTCATTTGGCTTTCCTTCGTGGCACCTACACTCGTTTGCATTACCATTTTGGGCCTTTTTAGATTTTTCTATCTCTTGTTACACCTTCACTTGCTATTCCTCCAAGATATCCTATATCTCTAACAAAAGAAACGAGAAGAAAGCTTTCGATATTTAAATAAGACATCAGATGAATACCACCAGTATAAAACGGTATAAGCCAAGTACGATCAATTTTTAGCGGTATGGTGGCTTCCGATAAGGACCAGTTATTTTCACCGTTGTATCCACACATGGAAACCGTCAGTGAGATGGAAATGGCAGGATCTCACTAGCAGAAGAGATGGAATTTTGAGGAAGAAAACTGGATCGAACTTGTCTCTTTCAATTGGAAGGAAGCGCCTTCTTCTATGTGAGAAACGTTGTCGGAAACGTTAATAGGATCTGGATTTTGCTTACTGGCGTAGGAAATTATGCTATTGAGTAGAGTATGATGGTGAGAGTCGATTTTCGATCTGACTGGCAAAAATTAACCGAAAGTTTTCGAATCCAAAGTTTTCAGGCGTAAATCCATCACGAAGAATTATAATATATAGATGTAAAATTCTGAGTGTTTTAACAAACTCTCTTTATTCGCTTGCTTGCCTCCTTTTCTTTCATTATTTTCATGGAAAAACTCTTTCTTATGGCAGCTTTCGAACTGTCCCCTATCTACTTCTACAATTTCTGTCTAAATTACTGGAGGAAATAAGCATTTCAGAAAGAAATTTTGACAAATTTTTTGAGTTGAATGCTAGTGTGGTTCGAAATAAGCGAGTGAGAAGAACATGTATGATTGAAACTCCATTCAAAGAGTTTTCTCGGATTCTACCGGAATCCAATCCAAACCCTAACGTGAGAATTCCTCTCTGTCCCAACAGCCAAATATCGTTGGATAATCCTAAGAATCTGACTATCAGATCCATCATAGGATTCATTCAACTGGGAATCTATCGCTTAAATTAAATAAAGGGTTCGTTCATTATCTGTAGAATCAAACAAAAGTCTATGAAAAGTTTATCACTATACACTGAAAAAGAAATATCGATAATAACTTCACACTTCATTGAACAGTCGGAGCTTAGAACACATTATGCTCGTCGGATTTTACTCGATATAAATACTCATAGTATGAAAAATCCTACATTACATCAGTAATAAATCTTATGGAAAGCCAGTTGTGCCAGTTCAGTACATTTCAAAAGCGCAGATCTCTGAAAATCATATCTGTTTTCATCTTCCATTCAATTAAAAACTTCTTCAGAAAATTTTCGACGAACTAACTTATTTGTGATCATTCGATCAATTGAATAGTTCGTAACACTGACGATATCTGATAAGACCGTTGAGCAAGATCAGACATACTCCTAGTCTGCTTGGCATACACTGTAATATGAAAGGCAACAATCGATACTTTTGTTTCCAATTGAATTCGTTTTCATACTATTAATTGACTAAGAATCGATTATGTATTTTGTCAATGATCTTCAGATCCTTGTTGAACAGATACAATATCGAAGCCACCAGATGAGTTCTTTAGCCCGGATAAAATCACAACAATGGTTGTTAGATTGAAATACATGCTCAGCATTAAAAGCAATTTTCACTGGAAAAAGGACGATTTTTTGACTACATGATATCTATATTATTGTGACATTTTGTATTTCACATATATTGGTTTAGATAAATGAGCGAGCCTTGAATTGATTTCCAAAAATATGCACCAGTAAAAGCTCTACAACAACTTGTATAATTGCCTTCTTTTTTCCCTGCTTCAAGAAGTTTTTTTTCTCATACCCAAAAGGAAGAACCTACATGAGAGTATTATTTTCTGTCAAATTGAAATTATTTGAAAGGTTTTCTGAACCGTTATAGGGATTGGATCGTATAGATTTTGTACAACATTCGATGGCACATTGTTGAAAAACAAAATCAACATACTAGTTTTTTTCACTTGGAGATATATGCAAATCAAAAAAATTGCCACCAAATTTCAACATGATAGCACGCACCACTGTCATGCATGTTGATCATTTTGAATATAAGAGAAAAAAATATTGAAGCAGAGAAAAAAGAAATCAATCGAATGAGTTGTTGTAGAGCTTTTACTGGTGGATATTTTTGGAAAATAATTCAAGGCCTGCTCATTTATCCAAACTGATGTATGTGAAATGTAAAATGTCACACGATTACGAACGTCATGTAATAAAGCAGTCGTCATTTTTTTCTAATAGATATTTTTTTTTCCAGCTTAAATTATATTTAATTTTTAGAATGAATATAAAAATAGATGCAGCGTGTTGACGGCATGGCCAACATATACATGCATATAGTAGGGTAATAAAAAAAAGATGAAAACAAGTAGAGAAAATCAATCAGCGATCATTGCAATTTGAAAGATGATAGTATTCTTACGATCTGACTAAATGGGAACATTTTTATGCACTAGCAATTCGAGTAGTCGACGGTAGACTTGGCTGTTCACATATTAATAACAAGTAGCAAGTGATCACTGAATTATTTTGCAACATCAATAGGCGATCGAATGGATCTGCATCGCAAACGATATTAGTCTTTCGAGAAGGATTCACTATTGCAAATGAAAAGAATCGTACAAAGTACAGCTATAATTGCTAGTAAAATATTGTCAATACAAGAACTCGGAAATCTGATTTTCGTTTCTGTATTACATCTATGTATTGAGAATAACGATAGATACTCAAAAATAACTAATCCAATCAATCGCTAGGAACTAGTATTACATAGATCTTATGATAACAACAAAAGTCAACGAATATATTGAAAACTAGTAAAAGTCAATAGTTTAAGCCTGGCCTCCCACCGAGAGTTTTTGAAAAAAGAGGAATAAAGAGGATTTGCATAAAGATAAAAAAGAGAATTTTTAATAGAAAAGAGGAAAAGTAGGAGGATACTTTTGCATCTCAGAAAAGCATAAGTAAAAGCATCAGTGAAGCTAAAATTTCATCAATCTGGAAACGGACCCCTTTTTTATGTCTGTTTGATAGCTGTTACAAGTATAAGCTAAGAGAAACGTTGGCTATTCAGGTGCATTTTTATTCAATGTCTAATGCACACAGTACAAAGCTATAATATCAGAAGAATAATACCTAAAAAGTGTTTCAATCTCTACAAAATACAATACAGTTGAAGCTTAAATAGTGCAAAAACTTACAATCAATCACAAAACGAAGTGCAAAACTTTACAACCAGTATTAATATGATCATCACGTCAGCTCAATCCATTTTGAACAGACTTGAGCGCGCAAAGCATCCGAGATTTTGTTACTTGCTCATCGAAAGACAAGAATTTATCAGCATTGACTAGTTCAAGAATATTTGTAGATGTTAATGATGTTATCGTAACAAATTTTAAGTTATTATTCACGACATTCAAACTCGTTTTGTTTTTCGTTTAGTATGTGCTGTGCAATAGTCTTCCAGTCATTATTTAAACAGTCTAGATCACTAGTGCGACATATTGCGCACACAAATGTTGCTTCAGATGATCCTTTCTGTAGCTATGCTTTAACTGACTTTCCGCTATCATCAGATTTATTCAACGAAGATTGCTTAAATTTTGTCCTGTGATCAGTCATTGAATGAAAAAATTGATATACTTCCCAGTGAAAAAATATCAAATTATGGGAGATTTCAGTAGATCATAATCGAATTTTTCTGCACCGAAACCCAAATTATAGTCGGCTGAAATCTTCGAAATCAACGATAATTTGATTTTTAATCAAACAATAATCTTAAAAATCCAGTAAAACTTTGATTACAATCGTATTAAATCCAGATTATATGACTTTAATCAAACATACATGATTTTTATCAAAATTTACAGAATTTTTAAGATTATTGTTTGATTAAAAGTCAAATTATCGTTGATTTCGAAGATTTCAGCCGACTATAATTTGGGTTTCGGTGCAGAAAAATTCGATTATGATCTACTGAAATCTCCCATAATTTGATATTTTTTCAATGGTTTATACGGAAATATTGTACTATTTTTTTAATGTTGCAGTAAAATAATAAGGTAAGACGATTGGACACGATTACTATCGCAATCTAGAAACCCGAAGAAATTCAAATAGAAAAAATAAGGGGTTTATATCATACAGCAGTGATTCATTAATAAAAGACAATTAGTGTCGCTCGAATTAAGGGAAATGCGTACGTTATATTGCAATTAAATTAGGGATAATTGGCACAATCTATGAATGCTCATTTTATCTTTATTACTTCTCTTTTCTTTTGTAGAAATCGATTGGTTTCATCGATTACTTTTCATTGAATATTCGAGTGTTCGAATATCTTGATGAAACT